AGTACTTTTTTCTGAATAGAAGTTTTGTACCATTGACTCTGACTGGTCTGATCATTTTTTGGAATAAGGAGTGAACTTTATTAATTCATATTAATGAATTAATATTAATATTCTGCAATGTGTCATCTTGTATTCTATACTGGGGAGGCTGTTTTTCTGCTAATTTGGCCTAGATCTGAACTGTAATTTGTGTTCCACTATCTGTTTCCAGAGACAGATCATCTCTCCTAGATATGAATACAGATCATCTTGTTAAAGTCAAACTTAAGAACACCAGTGCAGACCTTAGAGTAGAACACTTGGACTACAGCCTTCTGCAAACTTTTCTGGGAATAAATCTGGAACTTATTTATAAGTAAACATATACATTTGTGTTGTTTGTCTCTCAGATGCTAAGAAAATAAGCGCCATTGCCCTGAGCTATATTCCAGATCACCTGGGAGAATCAGATTCATACTTCCTAGAGGGGAAAAAGGTTCCCTCCCCCCAATGTCCTCCCTGCTTACCTGATGAAGGGTATGGTTCTTCAGAAAAACCAGTGGCTTTTAAATAAACAAGGACCTACTTTCTTGCTGTCACTCTTCCCCCACCCCACTCCCTGGGAAGCCAAGAAAGAGAAATTGCACCAAGTGAAATTAGGATGCCTGACATAGCTCAATGATGAGAGCCTATGCTTTACAAGCAGAAGGTCTCAGTTCAATCTCTGGCATATTCAAGTAGGACTGCAAAAATTCAGACCCAAAACTTTAAAGAGCTCTGTCAGTCAGTTGAAAATATTGTACTAAATGGAACAGTTGTCTTACTCAGAGCAAGGCAAGATCCTCTGCTCCTCCTCTGCCTTTCTAAGACGTAGGGCTTTTTATGTTGCTGATTTTGTCACTCTCTCCTTCCTGCTGCCTGGCCTCCCAGCATGCTCACCAACCTTTCACTATCATCCAAGGGGAAGAGGTACAAAAGGCTATTATGAAATCTGGAATTATTATTTGTTTTTAAAAATATGTATTCTACCTGTGATCCTTACTGTAGAGCCCCAATCAGTTGGTGAACACATCCAGACAAAATACCCTGCAAACACCATCTGAGACCACCTCACTTCATGTATATTACACATTAAGCAGACCACCTACAGCATAATTTGTTAAAGGAACAGCTGTTTCTTTTTGATTTTGCAAGTGAAAACTTTCTTTAGAATTTCAGGTTGGGAAAGTGCTTTGGTCTTAAGTTTGAGGGAAGAACAGGAGACATAACATATGGAGAAGGAGGAATATTTAATAGACTTAGATGATGCCTCCAAAGCATTAATTTCTCAGTAATGTTCTGTATGACATCATGTACCTTTCTCTGTAATCAGATCATAAGAACGCACGACCCACACATCAGCAGCAGTTATTTCAAGAGCGTTTTTGCCATATTTAAAACATTTAGTCCTTCCAGATCTGAGTAAACAAACCTATAATGATATATTAGCCTAAGTGGAACACCATTTATCATACTGTTATTTGAGACCCACATCCTTTCTTTTCTTTTTTCTTTTTTCTTTTTTCTTTTTTCTTTTTTCTTTTTTCTTTTTTCTTTTTTCTTTTTTCTTTTT